GGCAGGAACCCTACACCATTTCAGACAAACAGCTGTCCAGTCTCTTCTTAAAAACTTCCAGTGTTGGAGCATTCACCACTTCTGGAGGCAGGTTGTTCCATTGGTTAATTGTTCTAACTGTCAGGAAGTTTCTCCTTAGTTCTAGGTTGCTTCTCTCCTTGATCAGCTTCCACCCATTGCTTCTCGTCCTGCCTTCAGGAGCCTTGGAGAATAGCTTGACTCCCTCATCTTTGTGGCAGCCCCTGAGATATTGGAACACTGCTATCATGTCCCCCCTCGTCCTCCTCTTCGTTAAACTAGACATACCCAGTTCCAGCAACCGTTCCTTATATGTTTTAGCCTCCAGTCCCCTAATCATCTTTGTTGCTCTTCTCTGTACTCTTTCTAGAGTCTCAGCATCTTTTTTATATCGTGGTGACCAAAACTGGATGCAGTATTCCAAGTGTGGCCTTACTAAGGCATTGTAAAGTGGTATTAATACTTTACGTGATCTTGATTCTATCCCTCTGTTAATGCAGCCCAGCACTGTGTTGGCTTTTTTGGCAGCTGCAGCACACTGCTGGCTCATATTTAAGTGATTGTCCACTAGGACTCCGAGGTCCCTCTCGCAGTTACTACTATTGAGCAAGGTACCCCCTATACTATACCTGTACATTTGGTTTTTCTTGCCTAAATGTAGAACCTTACTTTTTTCACCATTGAATTTCATTTTGTTAGATAGCGCCCAGTGTTCAAGTCTGTCCAGGTCCTCCTGTACCTAAGCCTGTCTTCTGGAGTGTTGGCTATTCCTGCCAGCCTGCATCATATCCTTTCATTGGTGATTTGTGCTTAAGATCACCATACTTTTTATTACTCTTCCATTTATTGTATTGCCAACACTGCAACTCTTCTTATCCAGCAGTGATATAGCCTGACAAAATTCTATACCAGCATCAGGCCACGAACAGAAGAAAAAGGTGGCCCTGACTAAATCTCCTTCCCCACATCTGAAGTATTTAAGGAAAAAGAGATCATCATAGGTTTAGCTGATTTATAATTTTCTGGATAAATAATCCTAAATGCAACATACCCTACCTGGCCCACAAAAAAATACATTTATTTATTTATTTATTTAGCATATGGCATACAAGGCCAGGGAGACTGCAATGTTATGAACACAGTAGAAGTCCTGGGAGCTGACAGTCACTAGTCTGTTTGTTGCACCAGTACACCACAAAAGGACCTACTAGCTTCCCACCGACTGGCCTGCAGCATTCTCAGGGAAAATCAGCTCGTCCGCGACTTTCCTCCATCACTCTTCCACCAATCACATCCGGGCAGATCCAGCACCGATTCCAGCTCATGCAGAATGTAGCCAGCTGTTTCCTACCAACAAAATGGTGGCACCTATCTATCTACTCCCAAACAATGCTTTCAAACTGCTAGGTGGGCAGAAAGTAGGGACAAGAGATGGGAGCTCACCCTGTCCTGCAGAGCTGGACTCGAACCATCGGAGTGCTGGCAATTGTTCTGCACATCCAGCATCATTAAGTCTCTGCCCTACCACATCCCCCAAAACTTTACAAGTAGGTGTACAATACCAATCTCTATGTCAGCAGCCATAAGCCAGTGTACATGGCTTATATCCTTCAAACCCCACAGTTTTCATAGATTTGAAATCTGTATAAAATAAGAATGCTAGCATGCAATAAACTGTAAAGTATGCCTTAAAGCAATTACAACACATTTAAAATTTTTCTTCATTACTACAGTACATATTTCTTCATTACTACAGTACATATTTAAAGCATGCATGGGTTTTTTTCTACTCTTATTTATTTTATTTACTTATTTACTGACGTTTATATGTTGCTTCAATCAAACTGACTATAAGCAGCTTACAAGCTGTTGATAACATGAGTTAAATTCAGATAACATGGCAAAGTTACAATCTGAAGACAAAGAACATAGCAACTTTGTAAGCTTCCCAGAGTCTTTGTGGAATCAGGCCATCTTAACAAATATTAACAAATAAATACATTTTTCTAAAGCAAAGCAAGATGACGTTAGATGACTACCTGGATGAAGTGTTTCTGAAATACATGCATAAGAAGGCACACAGAATGTAAGCAATGTGTAAATGATACCAGTCACCTTCACCTCGCATACCTATTTAACAACTAGAGTTTGTTAGGATTTTAAATTTTGGAGAATATCTGTAGCCATAGAACCTAACATTTTTAAAGTGATAAGTTAGTAAAAGTAAATATCAGAAAATGCTGACATATTAGTTTCTCCACTTGAAGAGATGGCTATTGTATCCATACCTTGAAATAAATTTAAGAATTACCAGAAGTTTTAAAGACATCCAGTGGAGAGAGCAATAGAGACAGACTGCATTTGTTAAGATGGAAAAATTGGGATTTACATAATATAATAATATAAATAACCGAAGATACAGTGTGCCTGCAGGGTAACTAATCTAGCCTTGATAAGTACAGCTACCTAGCTACACAATTTCTAACATGCAATTTGCACCCAGCATGTCCTATTTTATAGCTATTTAATCTCCTCTCTCCTACTAGAAGTTTATACAGCTAATAGCTTTCTATGGAGACCATTCTCTAAATATCTTTGATGCCTAGTGATTTCTTATTGTCCCCAACTCAAATACTTTCTTTCAGATGTTATTCTATTGAATATATGATTCTACTATAAAAGCCTAGGCATTTAAGCTTCATACATTGTATACCAGCATCAAAGAAAGAAGAAAATAAAGGCATTCTGTTAAAAGTATATACTATCCTTTTGTGTTTACATGTAATGGAAATGATTAGGTAACTTTGTGAATGTCAAATAATCCAGTATATAGAAATCATTAAGGATTTTCCCCAGCATCCCAGTGTATAATGAACAACATTCAAAATAATCTGCCTTGCATAAAAGTCATTCATCTTTTTTTAAACTGTGGTTTTTAATTTTGACAAACTTCTAAACTTAGGTTATAGGAAATACAAGGCATCACTAACGAATGCACACAAGCAACATTGCAAAAGACAAAAGAGACAGATTATGGAATATAAATGAAAAAAGAATCTGGACTTTCTTCAGTCCAGGGATGTCAGAAAGATTTACTTCACAGTTTCTTATGCAAAATGTAATTTTATGTGTGGAGGAAGCTGAAGGAGATGGACATCCTAGATTCCTTTCCATCAAAGTTCAGACCTGGATACTGGATAGAAGCAACACTAATTGTACTTATATGTGACTTCCAAAACAACCAGTCTCAGGAGAGGGTTGAGTCTCCTAGTTCTTTTAAATTTCTTAGCAGTATGCAGTATAATTGACTGCAGCACTGTTTCTTAATTTTAAGATGTGTGGACTTCAACTCCAGGAAGCTGGCAGTGGAATTCTGGCCGCTAAAGTCTACACAAAGTTCCCGTGGTTAAGAAACACTGGATTAGAAGTATTCTTCTGGATTGCCTTAGGAATTTGTTCCAATTCTTCCTAAATTGATGTAGTTCTACTGGTTTTAATGGAAGAAGAAAGCTCAAAACTATGATCCAGTAAGGATCTTG